TCTATCTATCTATCTATCTATCTATCTATCTATCTATCTATCTATCTATCTATCTATCTACATTTACATGGACATTTCAAATAGTTACCTAAATATTTTAATTATTTATATGACAAGAGGAAAAAGACCCTTGTTTCCGTTTTCCTTTTATAGATCAGGATAGCTTTTAGCCATGGCTCAATAGGGCTATTCTTAAACAATCATTCCTTATCACACTCTTCCTTCCTCTGGGTCCTAGGTGGGCTAGCCATTGATTGGATCCATGACAAGTTATACTGGACAGACTCTGGGACATCTCGCATTGAAGTGGCAAATTTGGATGGAATGCACCGAAAGGTACTTCTTTGGAAGAATCTAGAGAAACCTCGTGCAATTGCTCTTCACCCTATGGAAGGGTGAGTATGAGATACTCGCTGCTTGTTATCTTAATTTATCAGATGAAATTTGCTGAGTGAAGACTCCACTTTGGCTGCCTGGAGCCAAATCTACAGTTGCCATTCTACAAATGAATTAACACATTCCATATGTAAAGTGCCATGAAAACTAATGAAAATTTCCCTAGAGGGGAAAAAGGGAGTTGGTGATATTTTTTACAAATGTGTGATTACTTTTATTATTTTTTGCTTGTTGTGCCTGATGACACTTCATTCTTCATTTTAGAAGATCTGCAGATAGAAGAAGGAATCTGTAAAAAAATCACCTCCTCTATACACTAAACTTGGAATATTTTATAACATAATTCTGTTTACTGGAACTTAATGTACTCTTGATAGCCTTATTAATAGAACACATTCTCCTGTGTTCTGTAATGTAAGCTATGTTAGGTTAGATTAGGGTTTTTTCAAATGTATTACCTTCCACTTGTGTGAATTACCTCCCAGAATTCTGAGCAATAACCATGCTAGCTAAAATTATGGAAAATTAACTATCCATCTGGAGCATATTCAGTTTGAAGAAAACCATTGTACGTGCTCAGTTGTGAAGCCAAAAGATTCTGGTTAACAGTTTATTGACAAGGATTGCGGTCTTGTATAATCATAGCCTGAATCTCTTATCCTTGTTTCCTTTCATCAGCTCAATACAATCAGTTGTATTATGTCTTTGGCTTTAGATTGCTAAACTAGTGGCTGTTTTGGGTGAGCAATGTCTATTGTCCTTTCCAGGAACTTCCACTGTTCACATTTTTCCTCTTTTCCAATAGCACCATCTACTGGACAGATTGGGGAAACACTCCTCGCATTGAATACTCTAACATGGATGGATCCAATCGGCGCATTATTGCTGATACTCATCTCTTTTGGCCAAATGGGCTAACTATTGACTATGCAGGGCATCGGATGTACTGGGTAGATGCCAAGCATCATGTTATTGAGAGGGCTGATTTGGATGGAAAGAACAGGAAGGCTGTTATTAGTCAAGGTAAGATAAGGAAATTGGGGATTGTCATCTACTAGATAAGTAACAGTATTAAGCAATGCTCTGAGTAACTCAGATAATACTGTGTGGCAAATCAGATCATTGATGCCAGGAGTTTCAGATCATCAGGCATTTGCTTCCGTCTCATATCTGTTTTTTCACCACGCTAATGCCAACAGTACTCTCAAAACTATATCTGGTGGTTGGTATCTAATTATTTAATTCATAAACAAGTTATAGAATCTCAGTGGATGGGACATACAATATGGGTAGCAAATTGCAACTATGGTGTTAGCCTTTATCTCCAGGACAACTTGGAATATAAAGTACTAAGGCAGCAGAAACCAGCAGCAGGTTTGCTTAGTTTTGGAGATATTATTAAAAGAAAGAGACCCTCTTTGCCTCAGAGATAGAAGCAACCTTTAGAAACAGTAAAGAGTGACCATAACCTTTTCATCTGCTTTTACTGGATTCTTGCTCAGGCCTTCCACATCCATTTGCTATCACTGTATTTGAAGATAGCCTGTACTGGACAGATTGGCATACCAAGAGTATAAACAGTGCCAACAAATTTACTGGAAAAAATCAAGAGATCATCCGTAACAAGCTTCATTTCCCCATGGATATCCATACTTTGCATCCTCAGCGCCAACCAGCAGGTAACTGCAGAGAGAGAAAAGGCAAGATATTATTGCTAAAAGACAATTTGTTCTGTTACTAGATATAGTCAAGCAGAACTCCCTCAATCTAACATTCTTTGTAAAGTATACAAATTTGTCCTAGTGATTCAATTTGTTTGATCAGTGCTGTACATTCAGAAAACATTCCGTGTTTCCTAAGACATAATCCCAGGTAAAAATGAATAGCTATAATGTTTTCTAAGCAGCAATGGCCAAGCAGCTCACCACATAAATTCATAAATGATGGTATAATATGATAATCTTTCATTATTGTCGTTGTTATACTACTATTGTTGTTAGTATATTTCTGCGTACCTGGAAAATGATTTCCTAATTAAGCTGTCTCTACTATTGTGAAAAAATGTTGAATTGCAATAAATAACTTCATTAATTTTATTCATGCTTTACCATCCTGGTAGTATTAAAGTCCACAATTTAATAAAAATTACCATTGGCCTAATACCATTACTAGTGGCTTAGCAATATGTTTCCTTGTTGTATCACAAAAATAATTTCAAAGTATGAAAAAAGTATATGGCTACATCTTTTACATGCCAATGCTGAATATTTCTATTTAGAATTGCACCAGACAGATACAAATGCACAATAAATTAAGCAGTTCCAAAATAGAACCAGCTTCATTGTATCTCTGGTTCTTTTCCCTATATAGGCTATGGTAATTTGTGTTTATGTGTGCATATGTATAGCTATGTATATATAAAATATCTCTGTTTGGCTATTTGAGCAGGGAGAAATCGCTGTGGAACCAACAATGGTGGCTGTACTCATCTCTGTTTGCCAAATAACAAGGGCTATACCTGCGCATGTCCCACAGGTTTTCGGAAGACTAGCGGCCATACTTGTGCCCAGAGTAAGTGTGATAAGGCGTTTATGTACTTTCATAACATGTCTGTGTGCACACGCATGAGAGAGATTACAGAATTTTAGCAAAATTACATTTAAACAAAACAGTAAATTTCACATGTAGAGGTTGTGGAGAAAGCGTTCACAATAGATTGCCAATATTACAATGTGTTAATGAAACTGATGGCAGAATGACATTTGGATTTTTTGTTGCTGTTTTTCCAAATTTCCATATAAAATATAGAATACATTTTTCCACTTTTATAAACAAAACCAATCAAAAGTTCAGCTGCAGAAAAGCACTGGTGGCATGATAAAGGATTTGGGATATCTTCTCTGCAAGGAAAGATGGAATCCTTGCCTTGGGGAAATAAAGTTATATTTCTTAGCTTGATACGGTTTCTTGCTTAATTGGAAAATATAGTGTGTGTGTGTGTGTGTGTGTGTGTGTGTGTGTGTGTGTATATATTATATATATATATATATATATATATATATATATATATATATATATATATACATACATACATACATACATACATACATACATACGTACATACATATTTCAAACAACTAAAAAGACTGCTGGGGCAGGAAGATTATGGAAGTTTATAAAATGCTGAGAATGTAATGGTAGAGAGAAGTTGGATAGAGATAATATTAGAACTGCAAGTCACTCAATGAAATAATTTGTCATTCACAACCAATTGCTTGTCCACACAATGCATAGTGGGTAGAACAGTTTGCCTCTAAATGCAGTGACAGCCTGTTGCTTGCTTGATTTTTAAAGTTAGTTTATTAATGGAAAATTGGTTTGTCAGCCCTTAATGCAAAAAAAAAAAAAACATTGAAACTATGGGGTCAGGGGCAGAAGAAAATCAGTTGCTAGAATTGCTAATGAAGGGCAGTTTTTGATTATTATTTTTTCTTTCTAGGCTTTCTAAAGGCACCCAACTAGCTAATGCTAGCAGGGTGCCTTGTCATGTCCTTATATACAGGGACATTTTATTTAAGAACATGTCCTTTTTTCTTCTAATCTAAAATCCCTCTTTCAAAATTTTATGCTCACTTCCTTTTTCTTTGTACTTATTTGCTAGTTATTTAAGAGCCATGGTGGCGCAGTGGTTAGAATGCACTATTGCAGGCTAACTCTGGTCTCACTGCCAGCCGGTTAAAATCGATTCCTTCAATCCTAACCAGCTCAAGGTTGACTCAGCCTTCCATCCTTCTGAGGTCCCAGTTTGTTGGAGGCAATATGCTGACACTGTCAGCTACTTAGAGAAGGCTGTAATGCACCATGAAGCAGTATATAAGTTTAAGGGCTAGTGCTAATGGTAGTGCTAGTTCAGGTCTGGCCTGCATTATAGATTAGATCCATTAGAAAACATGGATGTAAAAGCACTTCGTTGTGCCAAGATCACATTTTTTGTGTTTGTTACCATAATTTTCTGTTAGAGATATTAAAAGAAGACCTTTCGACCTTTGATCAGGTCTTGACAAGTTCCTGCTTTTTGCCCGAAGGATGGACATCCGTCGTATCAGCTTCGACACAGAAGACCTGTCTGATGTTGTCATCCCCTTGGCAGATGTGCGCAGTGCTGTGGCTCTGGACTGGGATGCACAGGGTGACTATGTCTACTGGACAGATGTTAGCACTGATTCCATTAGTCGGGCAAAATGGAATGGAACAGGCCAGGAGGTAATATCCCACAGAAGCTCAGTGGAAGCATATAAGTTGTTTGTCTTCTTGGTGTTTGTTTTGTTATACCTATTTTGGCTCATTATAACTATCTAATCTTTAAATTCTGTTTTTTCAACTGTTTGAGGAATACTGTATATTCCATGTATATGTCTTAAGGTAGATTAATTCCAAATCTCTATTTAAACAACTGAAAATCCATAGTCCAAGAAAGGTCAGTGCTTCAGGTTAGAGCAATATTGCCCTCAAAGTTTCATTGTGTTTGTTTTGTTGCTAGATTGTGGTGGAGAGCAGTCTTGAAAGCCCAGCTGGTCTTGCTGTTGATTGGGTCACAAACAAGTTGTACTGGACAGATGCAGGTACTGAAGACCACTGCCATATGCAAGAGTTCATTTGTTACTCCAAAAGCTAACCACACACTGAAAAATTGCCTTCCAAATTCTTAGCAGGATTATTCCCAATGCTTCTATGGAGATATAGGAATGAGATTCTTTCAAACTCTATGATCACGATGACTTAATTAACATTTCACCTTCCTGTAAACAGTGGACTGCGTGCATAGAAATTCTGGGAGTAAGAACTAATTTTCTGTAATTTAATAAAAGAGTGTTCTGAAATAGGAAAATCTCTAGCATATCAATTAATTCCTGCAGGCATGTCTCTGCATGCCACTTTATTGGAAATTTTCCAGTTACACATTTTAATCTTACACTGATGTACTTGGTTGGTCAATATTACCAGCAGATGCAAATGTGAAAGTTTGCTTTGTATTGTAGCACTGAAATTACAGAATAATTCAAATGGTGTTTTTTGAATTTACAAATTGAAACATTCTGGAATTTTCAGCCTATCTGAATAAATTTGTTTTTCTTATGGAAAAAAAGAACATGGGACCGCATTCAAACCTATTGTAAAAGAAAGGTTTTAGTAAAATGATTCTGTGTTTTAATAGAACTAATAGTTTCTGAATAAGGATAACTAGAAATTCTAATCAAACTAATTGAAAAAAAGTTTATAGAGGTCAGAAGTGAATATTCTTGACTGAGGATACTTTGTAGGCCTGCTGAAGAAGTCATTTTGATGATACACCTTGGTTGATATACCTTGGTTTTCTCCGAAAAGGTGTGTGAATGACATTTCAGTATGGATTATTTTCTTTTTTGATTTTTTTTTTGGAAGGCTGGTTTTGAAGGCTGATTATTTTTTTCTTTCCCTTTTCTATCGAATCCAGGAACAGACCGGATAGAGGTATCTAACATAGATGGGACCATGAGGACTGTTCTAATATGGGAAAACCTAGACAGACCAAGAGATATTGTGGTGGACCCTGTTGGAAGGTGAAAACTTTTCCTTTAAGATTGCATTGATCCTGTATGTCTTTGCATTTTGGTTCATCCTAGCAGTGATATCCCTGAAAGTTTGCTATTATAATTTTATATATAATTTATATATAATTTTTAAAAGTCTGTAGCGTTCATTCTCATGTGCTAATTATGATAAAAAAAAGATCCATCCCTAATATCCGGTATGCCCAATATCCTTAAAAGATTAGTTCAGGGAAAGCCAATGTAGTATTTTCTAATGTTGAGAATAGACAATACAGTGTTGAAATTTGCACCAAACCTGGTCATTGGTCATACTAGCTACAGCTAATAGGGGTGAATGAAAATCTTTTGAAGGGTATGGATCTGCTTACTTATGAGTTAACTCTTACAAACAAACATTAATAAGTCAGAAAGAATAAGGAGGATGACCATTTTAAGTTATCCGCAGAAAAGGGATGAGTAACTTGTAGCCGTTTTGACTAATGTGTAAGATGTTGTAAATTACAACTCTCTGCATTCCTTACTTTTGGCTATCTTGGCTGGAGCTACTGTAATTTATAATTCAAGACCATATGAAAAGATGCTGGCGTATTTGACAAACGTAAGCAAATACCTATATAGCCACTGCAAAAGTGGAAAGCCTTCATTGTTTAGGCTTTTCTTTCCTGTTCTGTTCTCTTTCTTTCCTAATACAGTTAAATAAAAATTGTCAGATTAATCAGGTTTAGCAGTTACATACCATTTTGGGCATTTGTATGCAGGTTCATGTACTGGACTGACTGGGGAGCTAACCCAAAAATTGAGCGTTCAGGAATGGATGCCTCTGATCGGTTGGTGATCATCTCTTCCAACCTGACCTGGCCCAATGGGCTGGCTATTGACTATGAGTCTCAGCGCTTATACTGGGCAGATGCTGGCATGAAGACAATTGAGTATGCTGGCCTGGATGGCAGTAATAGAAAGGTAAAATAGCCAAGATGTATTGACTTCTGGGAAAGGGTAAATAAGACATATACAGTGTTTGTTTATAGAAAATATATGTGTATTGTCTTTGATCCAACATGCCCTGTTCTGATCTTCAGAGGAGTTCAGTTGCTCCTCTAAAGGGACAAATGGATAACTTTTGAGTGAAGACTAAGACAGTGAAATGTATGGGAAACGGTGCGGCATTGTTGAGACAGCCTTAAACTTCCTCTGGTGCCTATGATAATTCTCAGCCAGGTCCAGCGCATTTGAAAGGGATCAGGTTGGGAATAGTTGTTCTACAGTTTGTCAAAAATGAAGGCAAATATACGTGTCCTGGGATAATGTTGCAGGATCCAATCTAGGTCGGTCACCAGGACCAGATGTTTAGTCTTCTGAGCTTTCGGACTTGGGCTGGAGCCCCTCTTCAGGGAACTTCTCTCTCACCAGAGTGTGTGTGAGAGACATTTCCTAAGGATGGGTTCCAACACGAGCCCAAAAGCTTGGACGATCTGGTCCTAGTGACCGGCCCAGATTAGATTCTACACTTCGTATAGTCTACTGCTGTTTCTAAGGCAGCCGTGCATTGCTCTTTTCCTGGCAGTTGGTTGATTTGCTTTTGGGATTGACAGATATTGATTGGGAGCAATTTGCCTCACCCATTTGGGCTCACTCTTTACGGAGGACGGATCTACTGGACAGACTGGCAGACGAAAAGCATTCAGAGTGCAGACAAAAGGACAGGGCTGGGTCATGAGACTCTACAGGACAACCTAGAAAACCTTATGGACATCCATGTCTTTCATCGGCAGAGACCTGCAGGTATGGAGATCTTCTACATCAAGATAAGAAGTTACACATCTTTGGGCTCCAGACAGAAAGAATTTCAGGTTTTTCATTCTACTCTGACGGTGCCGTAATATTTACGGTACCACTAGAGGCACCCATTGATATCCACCGACTCCCCCTTTTAAAAATTCTACAGGTAGTCCTCAACTTACAACCGCAACAGGGACTGGAAAATTAGTTGTTAAATGGCGTGGTCATAAGAGAGGCATTATGTGACAACAGCCAATTTTACAATCTTTTTGGTTGTAGTCTTTAAGAAAATCACCTCAAGGCTTTAAGTGAGACATCACAGGCCTGCAACTTGCGTGACCTTCCCTGCCACCTTTCCCATCGGTTGCAAAGGTTGCAAAGGGCAGTTATGTGACTGCAGGACACAGCAACTGCTGTAAAATGCTCAAAAGGATGTCAAGTTCCCAAATCATGATTGCATGACCGTGGGGATGCTATAAATGCGAGGACCGGTTGTAAGTTACTCTTTTTCAATGCAATCATAACTTAGAATGTTTGCTAAACAAGTGGTTGTAAATCAAGGACTACCTGTAATGCTGTTATTTTTTTTTTTTAATTAGGCAGGGCCACATGCAAAAGCAGCTGGAATCATACTGTATTTCACTTTGTTTACACACATTAAACTGCATTAGAGTAGTAATTACGTTAATTTAATTCAGTTAATGGTAGTATTATCTATCACTCTACCCTTGTTGGTTAAAAAAAATAAAAATTGGTATGGACTTTTGATGAGCTGGAGATTTTGCTGAAGGATTTGGAACCCCGAAGCATCAGCTTGTGCATCCCTTTGCTTTTATGGAAAGTACTCCCTTACCCAATTCAGAAATATATATTTATGCCTATAAAATTTTGTAAAGCACAGTTATTCCTAATTGCTTTCTTTTGATACATGGTTTCGCTACTGTCTCTTTCAGTGCATACACCGTGCCACATTAATAATGGTGGATGCAGTCATCTTTGTCTCTTGGCTCCACTTCCTAAAGGCTACAGCTGTTCTTGCCCTACTGGCATCAACCTACAACCGGATGGCAGAACATGTTTACCTGGTGGGTCTCTTATCTTCTGTGGTTCTATTAGTCCCTGGAAGAGGGTAAGGCCTCCTAAACCCTACATTCTGACCCTAGAAAAGTTATATACTCAAAATTACAAGTATTTGACTTACTTACATAAATACATTTTCTACTTCAGGTAGAATTTTATGTGTGTTGCAGTAGCTATTACTACTTTCCAACCAAAAGTAGGAATAGCTTTGATGGTGATGAAATGTCTGCATAAAAATTTGTTCCTATATAAATTATGTCTGATCACTTACTAAAGTACATAGAATTTGGAGGAAACACTATGCTTCATAGTATCAGACATAAATGCATTAACAGACACCTTGGTAAAGTGGAGTGGTAATATTTATGGAATTCTTGCTGCTTTTCAATATTATGGAATGTTTTGTTTTACTAATTTTAATAACATTAATTTAAACTGTAAACATACATCAGTTTACATATGAGAATGTTACTAGGATTTGTTAAAAACCAGTAATGTATCATCTGTGGAATATGATAAATACATAATTATTGTACTGGTTTGATGTATGCATAAGCTGAAGACATGAATAATTTTTTAGATACTGGACCTTACTTGTAATGATTCTGATTATCACATATATTGTATTTGGCTTGCATGTACGAAGGTACTATTGGTAAATTATATTGAACAATATTTTTTTTAAGCATATGCTTAAAAATAATTACATAGTTGAAGGTAGAACATTCAGTATTTCTTATGATCTTTCATCATATTTATGGCCCTTCTTTTATGGTCTTGGATAAATTGGTGGCTTTATTCATTGCCAAGATCACCTTTGCCAGCTGAAAATTTTTGTTGCAGTAAGAAGGGACATTTGAGAAAAGGAAGAATTATGCATTGAACTCCATTTTCAACTTTGCAGGAATGACTACCTTCCTGATCTTTGCAAGAAGGTCGGATATTCGTCTGGTTTCACTTGATATTCCATATTTTGCTGATGTAGTTGTCTCAGTCAATGTCACTATGAAAAACACCATCGCCATTGGAGTTGATCCCGAAGAAGGTTGGCAATATGTAATTTAACCATTTTAGGTGTGGAATTATTCAGGGCAGAATAAATGAAAGGCAACCTGTCCAATAAGTGGTGTGATTCATATTAAACAATACATTCCCCTATGTTCATGAAACCATTGTAAAAGCAGCTGTTTCTTTTAATGTCCAAGTCTTATTAAAGCAACCTTTCCCAAACTAATATGGTTCCAAAATACCTTCAAATGCAACTCCAGAATTCCTATAAGCCATGTTGGCTGAAAATTTTGGGAGCTGTAGTCTCCCAAGGCACCAGATTGAAGAAAGCTGTTTTTGAGGGTAGCTGAAAAAATTCCCTGCTTTAATGCTCTTATTCATATCCAAAAAGTAATTTTCAAGGCAATTGTATTCCACATAGGTTCACTCCTGATGAAGTGTAGTGTTTTTCAACCTTGGAAACTTTTAAGATGTGTGACTTCACCTCAGAACATGTTGCTGTGGTATTCTAAGAATTTAAGTCCACAAATCTTAAAACTGATAAAAGCATGTATGTGTGTGTGTAGATGTGTGTGTGTGTAAGAATAAAATATTTTATATTAATATTATATTGATGGTGTGTGTCTTCATTAAATATCACATGGTATATTTATAAATAAATTGCTGTTGTTTTTGCTTTTCTTGAGAGGGTTATAGAGAGGGTTATAGAGACACTTTCTTTCCTATTTTCCTCCATCTTTGGAAATTCTTTTTCTAGCAATAATAGAATAAATAATAGATTAAAGACATAAAAAATCCTGAAGACACACTTACAGTGTTGTTTTTCACCAAAATAATCTTAGATATTTATGGACTAACAAGGGAATGTAATTTAAATAAATGAAACTAATGTTCTTTTGTTTTTTTCAACAGGAAAGGTTTATTGGTCAGACAGCACACTGAGGAAGATCAGCAGAGCTTCACTGGATGGGTCTCAGTACGAAGATATTATTACTATAGGTAATAAATAGATTGTTTGGTAAATACTGAACCTGCTTTAGACTCTTTCAAAGATATGGATCCCTCTTTTTTTCTTTTTTTGCATTATCTTCACCTAATGCAATTTCTAAAACTATAATATAAAGGTTGCCTTGAATACGGTGGATATTTTGAGGAGAAAGGATAGTATATACAGTATATTTTACTGACACTATAACAATAATATGTTTCTTTTGATGTAGGATTGCAAACCACAGATGGATTAGCTGTGGATGCTATTGGCCGCAAAGTGTATTGGACTGATACTGGAACAAACAGAATTGAAGTGGCCAACCTGGATGGGACAATGAGAAAAGTTTTGATATGGGAAAACCTGGACAGCCCACGGGCAATTGCATTATATCATGAAATGGGGTTAGTGCTAGCAATGGATCATCTTATTTTCAGGGGAAAGTCTGCAGAGGAGAAGAGAGCATGACAATAAGTAATATGTTGATTTTTCAATGGATAATTTATTTGCCCCTTCTCTTCCTTTAGGTATATGTATTGGACAGACTGGGGTGAAAATGCTAAACTGGAACGAGCTGGGATGGATGGCTCTAACCGCATGGTGCTTATTAGCAACAACCTGGGGTGGCCTAATGGTCTGGCTGTGGATAAAGCTGGATCACAACTATTTTGGGCTGATGCACATACTGAGGTTAGGATGACATGAGGGGCAGTCTACAATTTTAAATGTTTGGTGTAGAAAGTTGCCTTAGAGTAAAGCAATGGAATGTAAGGACGAGAATGAGATCTTAGGAAGTAAGAGTAAATACGTGCATATATGCATGTTCATCACTCTGGGATTCTAACACCATTCGATTTATTGGTAAACTTCATATTGGTTGACATTGCCTCAACTTCTGTTTCACTTCAATATATTTGTATACAGGTAGTCCTTGACTTACTGTATGATCACAATTGATATCAGAATCTTGATAGTTGAGTGAAGCGATAGTTTAGTGAGATGTCATGTGACTGCTTCACTCAATTACCCCAATCCAGTTGTGGTCATTAAGTGATTGGGCAAGTTGTTAGGCAAATGGAATCCTGGGTAAGGAAGGTGGGAGGCTTCAGGAGGTAGGAGAAATCTGGGAGGCTCCCTTCAGGAGCTAAAAATGCCCCCTGTCAAAATCTAAACAGGATTTTCAGCTTTGAGTGAAGAGACACTTTTGTCTCTGCGCTAAGTCTCCCAAGGCATCCCCATCACCTGCTCCTTACCTTACCACACTAGCTGTCTAATCTCTGCTTGGATTTTGGCTCCCTTGCCTCTGGGGGCTGGTTGTAAGAGCTGCCTGCCAAAGGAGTTCAGCTCCCCTCTGCACATGAAAGGAACTCCTTCATTGGGGTGCAGAAACAGAGCCAAAATCCTCCAGAACCAAATGAGTTCCATTCCCTCCATGCAGGGAAGGGAACGTCTTTGGCAGGGTGCAAGAACAGAACCCATATCTTCAGGATTTCCGTTGTTTCTTCCCCCTCTCCTTGGAATGCAGCTTCTTTCAGTCAGCTTCCAGAGTCACGAGAGAGCTCTCTTGGCAGGACAGTAGCAGGTTGCAACTTTTCCTGCCAGTTTCCCCATTGAGTTGAGTTTCTGGGGAACCTGGAAGAGAAAATTGCAAATGGCAATCACATGTCTGCAGCGTGCTTAGCAACCAGTCATGTGTGAACAGGTTACCGAGCAACCAGATAGTGAGGATATCATAACTTATGGGGTGTAAAGCATCTTTTCTGAGGCTGTCATAATTCCGGATTATCGTTAAATGAATGATTGCAAATTGAGAACTACCTGTATTGCTGTCTGATGAGTTACAGATAAGAAGCAAAAAGAGTCAGATTTTGGAATCTAGATATGGTAGCTTGGAATATTTCTGTGACTTGATTCAATCTTTTATATATGTACATTATCTCTGAGGAGAAAAATCTTAGGACGATGAATTCACTCATATATCTATCTCACAAGGCATGGATGTCTTTTTTTCAAAGTGGAAATAGAGCACTGAAATTCACTGTTGATTTTCTTAAAGGTATGCTCTGATGAAGCTCTCAAATGACTAGATTCATACACATTAAATCCTAATCCCAGAATAGCAAAGTATATTTCCTACGTTCTCGTAACCTGCTGATCCAAACACGTAAGATGGACTGATCAACAAAACAAGCTGACAACTGTGTAGACTCCTATTTTAGCCTGGTTCAGAGGGTTGTGGAAATTCAGCCACTCAATGGTTGATTGCATAGCACAGTTGGGGAGTCAAGATATGCTTTGCTGACTTCATTTCTTCTGGGTTAGGCCTGTCTTTTCTTTTTTCTTTTTTGTCTTATGGAATCCTTGGGTGAAATTGAGATAGTTTAGCAGAATGCTAGAAATAAGCATCTAGATTACACTATTCTGGCTTTGTGGATCCTACCTAGGAGGCCTCTGAATCTGAACCCGTAATCAGGAGTTCCAACATTCTATTCTTTTCAGCGTATTGAAGCTTCGGATCTGAATGGTGCAAACCGTCATACCCTCCTCTCCCCAGTGCAGCACCCTTATGGCCTAACTTTATTAGATTCTTACATCTATTGGACTGATTGGCAAACAAGAAGCATTCACCGAGCTGATAAGAGCACCGGCGCTAATGTCATCTTGGTGAGAACAAATCTTCCTGGATTAATGGACATCCAGGGCATTGACAGAGGGAGACCTCTTGGTAAGTTTTCCTATTTTCTTTAAGCCAGATGTCTTGAATTTTCGTGGGCATGCTTTAATTCTTGAAAAATCACTCGTGTTTTTTTCTTTTAAGCAACCAGCATGCTTATCTGGCCTCCAGACAGTTTCTGTAGATTTTATTCCATTGTTTATCCCTACTGTTCAATCACAATCCCATAGGCCTTGTTTGCCTGAGAATTATGAAATCAAAGGCTCAATTCCATCTGGAGGGCAACCACCTGAGGAAAGCCATACTGAATTAATATTAGCCTTTTAATCTCAGATATGATCTATTTCTCCTAAGGTACTAACAAATGTGGCATGAAAAATGGAGGATGCTCTCATCTCTGCCTCCCAAACCCCGAAGGCTTCTCATGTGCCTGCCCTACTGGAATTCAACTGAAGATTGATGAAAGGTCTTGTGATCCTTCTCCTGAAACCTACCTGCTCTTCTCTAGCCGGGGCTCCATCAGGAGAATCTCACTAGATACTAGTGATCACATTGATGTTTATGTCCCTGTCCCAGAGTTGAACAATGTTATCTCCTTGGACTATGACAGTGTAGATGGCAAGGTTTACTACACAGATGTCATATTAGATGTCATCAGGTAGGTATCTTCCAAATTCCTCATTGTATGTTAATTAGCTACATAATCGTATCTTTTTCCCCGCCCCAAACTGTTCTTGGTCAGAAGGATCTGCCCCATGGAAAAATGTTAAGGTAGAATGTTCTCCTTGTTCTCTATGATACCTTCTTTCAGGCGAGCAGATCTAGATGGCAGTAATATGGAAACTATTATTGGCCAAGGACTAAAGAGAACAGATGGTTTGTCTGTGGACTGGGTAGCTCGAAATCTATATTGGACAGACACTGGCCGCAACACAATTGAAGTTGCAAAACTGGATGGAAGCTGCAGGAAAGTGCTAATAAATAACAGTCTGGATGAACCACGGGCAATTGCCGTCTTTCCTAGAAAAGGGTAAGTGACTGAAAAGTCAGTATTACCGAAAATATTTATTTAAATAATTTATGGCATTAGGTACAAATATTCTCTTCTATTGGTCCAGCAGCCAAAAGGTAAGTGTCGTGCAACTTTCCCAACCTGGTGCCATCAAGATATTTTGGGCTATTGTTCTCACTAGTTATGTTATCAAAAGGGAGCTGTTTTGTTCTCACTAGTGAAGTTATGTTATCAGGAGGGAGCTGTTACACTTGGAAGATGCCAGGTTGAGGAAGGGATAGAATGTGGGGGTGGGGGGAGAGGATTGGCTAAAGTAGAGGTCTGCCTTCAGACATCAGGCAAATGGATTTCTTTGGTGGATAGGCCATCTTTTAGACCTGACTTACATTTATGTACCCTTTTGCATTTTTTTTATTTTTATTTTATTTTATTTGGTTTGTCAATTGCTTACAAGATAATAGGTATAAGTAAAAACATAGTTATGAATACGTGGATACATATAAGAAAAATAAAAGAAACAATAGGATAAGGACAGTAGGCACGTTGGTGCGCTTATGCGCACCCCCTACAGACTTCTTAGGAAAGGGATGAGGTCAATAGTAGAAAGTCTAAGGTTAAAGTTTTTGGGGTTTGGTTTCAAAATGTGTTGCTAAGCGTTTTTCTATTGAGTGCATGAGTGATTCTATGCAATCAACTCTGTCAGGCAGGCTACTTGGTTTGTTTAGCTTAGGAAAACATGATGGACATAGACAAGGGAATGTATCTGATGCTTTTAGGAGATCAGCTACATCTTTGTTTAATTTTAAGCAGGCAAGGTGGGCTTGATTGTCACATAGGTATCATTTGATGTTATTTTCGCTTTCATTGATGGTTTTAAGACATCTGAAGTATGTACAGGAGTCTGGGAGGTCATTGGTAGAGATATTATTTTTTTTGTTGTTTGGTAGTGGAGGATTTGGAATTTCTGGAGTTTCTGGCTGGCATGGTCAATGACAGTAGTACACTAAACAATTACAATAACTAATTAATGTGATAGGTAGACAGTTACTTAATGAATGTTGGTAATTAATAAATGTTAATTGATAAGTTAGAGAACAAATCAAAAGTAAGGTTACTTATTACTAAAAATCAATCTATCAACTTATTACTAAGATTCAATCAATAGTAGATAATCAATGATACAGTATTAAATCTCTATCAGTTCAATGAATCAGTAAATTAGTGCTCATTTAACAATTAATTATTATACTATATGATAAATCAATTATTATAGACAAAGCATTATCTATAAATATTTGGTCTTGAGGTACTGAAATAGTGTAGGTAGTAAAGTATTGGAGGTTTGTTGTGTAAAGTTCCTTTGTTTTTCCTTAAAGCCACGTTTGTTGGTTTTTGTTTTGCTTTATTTTTGTTTTAAAGAGGAAGCATTGCTGTTTGATAGATTTGAATGGAGAATTTATTGGTTTATTTTCTTCCAGATACCTCTTCTGGACTGACTGGGGACATATTGCTAAAATTGAGCGGGCAAACCTGGATGGTTCTGAACGAAAGATATTGATCAATACTGATTTAGGCTGGCCCAATGGACTGACTTTGGATTATGACATCAGAAGGTCAGCACAACCTTGCATTTCAAAATTATTGTTGTGGTTTAAAAAAAAAACTTTTCCTTTTTTTAAGGCAGGTTGCCAGGCTGCCTTAGAATCAGAAATTGTAACCGAGAAAAAGAAAGTTTCAGGAGTGGACATTAGTTTAACTTCCATTCTTTCTTTCCTTCTAGGATTTATTGGGTAGATGCTCATCTAGACCGCATAGAAAGTGCTGATCTTAATGGGAAATTGCGGCAAGTGTTGATCAGTCAAGTGTCACATCCCTTTGCCTTGACACAGGTACATAGGAAGGTGTGGTGGTGAATGCTGAAATGAAACTTAACTTAACAAATAGTTAACTAATAGTTAACTAAAAACTGAAATAGTTTGTTTACTTTGGGCACAGTGGACAAAGTTTGTACAGGGCTCTTTTTTCTTTCTCCTGTCTAATCATTTAAAGAGAGATAATGTAGTGCAGTTCAGCTAATATGAACTACCAGCATGGTTGGAAACACGTTTCTTCATGACAGAAGAGTCAGGGTATAATATTGATTCCTTAGATATATTTAAGGCTTTTGATTTTCTGGAAATCCAATTTTTAAAACAAATATTAATGAAATTTAAATTTGGGGTCACTTTTCGTAAGGTGATTGAATATATTGATGGATCAACTAAAGCTCAGATAAGACTGAACTGCTATTATTCAGATCCTATTATGATTTTAAGAGATAACAAGCAGGTTCGTCCTTTATCACTTTTATTTTTTAAGCTAGCCCTAGAAGCATTGGCAATAGCACTCAGACGCAATAATCAGATTTGTGTGATGAAAATAGGAGATATTTGTGGACAATACAATTTTGATAAATTTGAAGAGATTTCAGGATTATCGATTAATTTTCGTAAATCACATCTGATTTTTCATATTCTTCCAAAACTTCAAAAGGAAATTTCCATAACTTTAGGGGATCCAATAGTATATAATGCTTTATAATATTTAGGTATACTTATTACTAAAATATAAACACAATATTTACAAAAATTATAAAATTACAAAAATTATATTGAAGAAATTAAGTAACAAAATGAAAAATTCGGCTTTAAAACATTTCAGTGTTTTAGGGTGAATTGCAACAGTAAAGAGGCAAATTCTTGCAAGGCTTAACTTTTCATTTCAATGCCTTCTGATTGTAATTTATTTATTTATGTTATTTAATTATTTATAATTTTTTAAACTGCCCAACTCCCTTACAAAAGGATTTTGGATGGTATACAGTAAAATATTATTAACATAAAAATGCATAAAAAATTTCAAAAGAGACAAGCAATATTAAAATTAATTAAAGCTTTTTCTTTTAATTTAATTAATCAAAAGTAATTTCAGAAGAGACTTTAAGTCACTGGCAAAAATGAGAGTAAATATAATAATTTGTGTTAATGTAATTACCTAGCATTACTTGAAAAATACCCTACCAGTAATATGTTGAAAAAAACATAGAAAAGAGTAAGTTTTAAGTTTAGACAGTCCCATTTGATTCCTCTGTGCTTATTACATAGTATTTTAATCCTGTGTTTGCCTGTTTTCTGAGCAGCAGGATAGGTGGCTGTATTGGACAGACTGGCAAACAAAATCTATTCAGCGTGTGGACAAATACTCTGGTCGTAATAAGGAGACTGTGTTAGCCAATGTAGAAGGACTTATGGATATTATTGTGGTTTCTCCTCAAAGGCAAACAGGTATATGCAATCACCTGGGTTTATTCATTAATTCATTGTATCTGATTAATGAGTGGTCTATTCTCTAAACCAGTCTTCTGCAATCCAGATGGTTGGATTACAACTCTCACCAACTGATCCGGCATGGCCATGAGAGATGGCTGGAGAATTTGGGGGCTGTAGTAATTAAAATACAGAGAATCTCTTTTTTTGTTTTTCCCTCTTGATGAATGATTCTGAATTGTCTCTATTGCCTTTGTATGGATTCAGGTGGAGAAAGTAGTTGAAAGCATATCATTATGGAAAGCTATTTGGATTTAGGATCATACTTGTGAAATTATCTGCTTTCCCTTCAGACACAAAGGCTGGGGATAATGGCTTTACCATGCAAAATATAGGAATAAACCTGCCTTTCAGGTCTGGCTGTTAGCTACTATTAGCCCACATTGATTAAACAAAACTCAGGCTGGTACAAATAATGAATTAGGCAAGGAAACCTACCCCTCCCTTGTTGCTTATGCCCCAACCCACTCAAGGGAAAATACATGTCAGATGTTGAAAAATACAGGATTTTGATCCAAAGCATTAAGTGGTCACTGGATGGCAGCAAGTGATTACACCTGACTGCCACTTCTGGTATGCTTTATGAACCTTTTCTGAGTATGGTCACCTACTGTGTGAGCCCAGAAGAGCAAAGCTCGCTGAAAGAGTAACCTCAGGTACAACATACATGTGTGATTGGCAAAACAAAGCAAACATCTCTTCCTCATTCTGAATCCTGCTATTATTGCTTCTATGTATCAATTCATTTTCTTTCTTAACTCGCATACTAGCAAATTGCTCTTATTCATTTCAATAGGATTTAGAGTAAACTGCTACATTTGAAAATGAGGCCACAAGCTTGCCATTTATTCCTCATGTTCAGCATCCTGGCCTCTGTTAAAAGGACTCCAGGAAGAGATTAAAAAAAAAACCTATCTGCAGAGTTCAAAATAGAGGCCTCATACACTTTGTATATTGCCATGACAAGTATTTGACTTTTTAAAAGTTTAAAAAGTCTGTGTCATTTTTGCTCTAAAGCAGGGGTATCAAACTGGGTTTCTTCGCTGGCCGGATCAGCATTGTAGTTCTCCACGTGGAGGGCGGAGACAGGATGGACACTTCCTGCAGCACTTGCTGGCCAAAACAGTGCATGGGGGGGGGGGGCTGAGGTGGGCCATGTGAAGTCCCCCGTGGCCTGTTTTTGGCCTCCATAGCCTCCTGCAGCATTTTGATAGCCAAAAATGGGCCACGTGTGTGGGGGGTGATGCCCTCTGACCTGTTTTCGGCCTCCACGGCCTCCTGAAGCACTCTGCTGGTCAAAAGCGAGCCATGGGGGGGGACCACATGAGGTCCCCCTGCACCCCATTTTGGCTGGTTACAGGCACCTCAGGTTGGTCCTTTGATATTTCCAGGCCAGCACCCTCCCTTGAGTTTGACACACCTGCTTTAAAATGTTTATTCCTTTGGGTCTTGGGGAAAGCATGATGTTTCAGATTCTGTGATGTACTGTATTGGTCAGGACAATATTCATTTAGGATATTGGCACTTTGGTCAGAGGAGATACTTCTCACTGTACCCTAATATATTTTGGGTAAAGGAATATGAAGCTCTACTCTGGGGAGAAGAAAATTATATCTTTTGTGAAATATCTGGTTTGTATCTTCTAGGCACAAACATTTGTGGCGTGAATAATGGAGGCTGTACCCATCTCTGCTTTGCCAGGGCTTCTGACTTTGTTTGTGCATGTCCCGATGAACCAGATGGACGGCCTTGTTTTAATGGTAAATTGTTTGTATACCACACCTCCCAGCATGAATCATAGCCCATGTTTTCTCTTATTCATAGCTGCTTGAGAAAAATGGCTTTGTTCCCTTAAATAAGCTACAGCTAAAAAATACCTCTTTGGTAAAACATTCAAATGCCTACGGATAAGAGAGTAGTATTTTGTCTTTTTTTGCACTGTTTTATTAAAAATGTTAAGTATTCTTTCCTTGAGGTGATTCTTCTGCCTTTCAGATGTCCCATACATACCTTCTTCAATTCTTTAATCCTAATATACAGTACAATTTAGAACAGTTGGTTATATTTCACTGGTAATTTGTGTGTAGTGACTTCAAACATTTTCCTACATTTAATATTAAATGTAATTTAGGAACCATTCATTGGTAGATAAAATAAAACCCTTCTGATATTTGTTTTCCATTGCATTTGCACAAGTTCTAGATGCCTGGCAAACTATAAGTGCTTATTTCTCATTTTTGTTCTCATAGGACAACACTACATATTGCATTACAAGAAGAATTGTATACGCTTTTGCTCAGGGGTGGGATTCTACCAGTTCGGACCGGTTCTATAGAACCAGTTATTATGATTCTGCGCAGTTCAGAGAACCGGCAAATTATGCCCCTGGCTGGCTCCACCCGCCCCTCCCCTCTCCACCCAGTCAGTCCTTATCGCACATGCGCAACATTGCGCACATGCCCGACATCACTGACTGCGTTCTTCCCCATCCAGTCACTCCTTAAATGCCTCCTGATGATCAGCTGTTCCGATGATCAGCTGTACTGGGATTCCCCTCACTGTCTTATTGCTTCACCCAGGAGGCGTCCCTGAGGCCCAGGAGGCAAAAAGGGGGACCATGCTGTGTGACCCCCCCCACGCTATTTTTTGCCTTCCTGGCCCCAGGGAAGCTTTCTGGGAGCAAAAATGCCCCCCCAGGAGGCTTCCCTGAGGCCCAGGAGGCAAAAAAATGGGTGGGGGGGGGTGCTGCAAAAAAAAAAAAAGCTATGTCCACCCAGTCACATGGGCATGCTCACCTAGTCATGCCCACAGAACTGGTTGTTAAAAAAATTGAATCCCACCCCTGCTTCTGCTACATCTTGAATAATGAAAAAGTTTATATTTCCATAAATAAAAAGGTCAGACTTCATTGTCTCCTTTGTCTCAGGTTCTTTTCCTTTCTCTTCTGTCTAGTTCCTAGCATGGGGCCTCCAAATCCTGAGACAACTCATGCAAGCAAAAGGAGCCAGACTTCTACTGACAGATTTAAAACTCCAACAACCAAGCCTCATATTTCTGTGGAAACAATAGAAGGAAAGTAAGTGGCTCTGTTGATTGAAAGTGATTGAGGGGAAAGTGTGGAGTCCAATTTCTTTTTTAAATAGATTCCTCTACATCAATTTTTTTAAGAACTGCTAGATAATAAAGTTGTATATCTTCTTATCAGATGATAAGGGATCACAGCTAATCCATTAATTCAAACCATTCAGATACAGCCCTGCATTCTTCTTCCCTTACAGTGACAGAAAATTCATTGTGATGTATTAAACAAAGGTTTTTCTAATAACAGCAGCAATAACTTTGGGCTATAAAGGTTATTCTTTTTACCTAGTTGTCTGCTTTATCTTGGTTCAATTTAACAGTTTCTAATAGGAAGATGGCTTCATTTGAAGTTCAGCATCTACTTTTTCTTGTTGTTATTTAGCTGCTCTGACAAGAAAGTTGGTCAAGGTTTATGCAACCGAGCAAATGAAGCAATATTGGCAACTGCAGGTGAGTTTTTCATGTTTGTCTTCACTTCATCTCAGGGATTCAGGGACATTAGATATTATCAACTATTGCTATAATTAAGTTGGAGTCATTGGATGAAATTATGTAAGTTGACAAAAGAGGAACTTGCTTAGTTTGCTATCTTGCACATCAGCTGTTTTATTTTTCAACTTTTCTTTTTTCTTTTGCTCAATAAATCTTAATGGGCACTAAGATGCTAATACTGAATGAAACCAGTGAAGACCACTTAGTGATTTCATATACATATATTAATCTGTCTCTGTTCATTAAAATCTAAGAGGTAATAAAATGTAAATAAACACTTAACCGTCTAGGACACACAGGTTTTTACTACTTCAAATATATAGTTCTGGAATGACAGCATCACCCTTAATCTGACTGTTTATCTTCTTTCAGGAGAAGGGCTACATGTCAGTTACATCACTGGAGGTCTTCTCAGTATACTGAGTATTCTGCTGCTGATTGGTGCTGTGATTATATACAGGTAATTCTTTATCTTCCTTCCTTCAGCCTTTCTGAATTAATGTATCAATCACTCAGAATATTTTAAGCACATGCCAGAATTTATTTGAACTCAGTACTGTAAATTATAAGAAAATTTATCATTTTACCTTGCAAAATTAATAGGTGTGACAGTATTCTTACTTGATAACTGGAGTTTGGAAGCATTTGTAAGGAAACCGTCCTCTCCATGTACATCTGTAAAATTCACTTATCTGTAGGATAAGTGGAAACAGATTTTCACATTCAAAGGATTGGACTTCTATTATGGTATCAATGTATGCTGTATTTATGTATGCTGCCTGATAAATGTAAGTAGGAGTATAATGGAATATTAAACATGCTTTGGTTTAAATCTTTCATTTTTGAATGGATATTTATCTTGTTTGTGAATGGTATTGTTTATTACTTTGCCAGAATGACACAAAATACACCTTGTCTCTTTAAACAGATGCACTAATAACTATACATGGAGGCTTTTGGTGTAGTGATGAGAGTTTGGCTGTAGAATTTTGTAAGAGCTAATGTTTTTGAGGAAATGCATTGAGATGCAGAGTAGCCTTGGACTAATCACACCTTCTCACTCTGATCTGTCTACTGTGTTGCTGATATGGAAATAAAAGGGAGATCTCCATGGTAGCAGTAAATGTGTAGATCGAAATCTAATAAATAGAGAAATGTTTTCTCTTTATCGTATTGTTCCTGCAGGCATAAGAAATCCAAATTCACAGATCCTAATCTAAGTAATCTGACATACAGTAATCCCTCTTATCGGACATCTACCCAAGAAGTGAAGATTGAAACAATTCCCAAGCCAGCCATATATAATCAGCTCTGCTTTAAGAAGGAGGTAAAGAGCTTTTTTCAGAACTTGATATTAATCTCCTGTGGCATTAAAAACAATTGCAGTAGCGTAATTTATTTGCATTATTGGAATCCTTAGCTGCCTTAGGCAGTCAGAAATTTGGAATGACTTGTTTTAGTTATATTAATTATAGACTTTGCTGCTTTAATCTTAGGACCTTTTATTGTGTGTCTTCCACTGAGTTGGTCCAGCTGATCTGATATGGTATTTTTAGTGCCCTTTGTCTATTGGTGCTTTGCTACCCATTAATATTGTGGTTGAAGGAAACCAATAATAGTTTTAAGAGTTTAGCCCTGATTTCTTTTGGTGCTGAAGTTTCCTCTGTTTCTTCCTCAGCATCTTTCTCACCCCTCTGATAGCCTTTCACCATTTCTCTTTTGACCATCCACAGACTCATATCAGGTATCATGGCTCTGTTTGTGCAACTTTCACCTCCCTTATTTCTGTGATGTTAAGTGATCTAATGCTCTCTTGATACAACTTCTGCTTGACTAACTTTCTGCTCCGTTGTTGAGCTACTGTTGTTGTTTCTGCCCTTAGAAAGAAGTACTAGAACAGGGGTGGGCAAACTACGGCCCGCGGGCCACATTTGGCCCGTTGGTCATTTTAATACAGCCCGCCTCTGAAAAAAAAAATCCCCTCTGAAAAAAAAAATCAGGGCCGGCCAAAAGAACCTTGGGAAGGGAAAGGCAAAACCAGGAGCCGCTGAGCCTGAGCCTCCGGTGCCACTGCTGCCATTGCAAAGCGCCACCGCGGCTCTTCCTTTTTGCCTTTCCCTTCCCGAGGCGATGCGGGACTGGAGCTGTGCGGAGCTGTGCCGGCGGTAGCAACTCCTGACTCAAGGGGCCTCCGAGGGGAGGGGAAGGAGAAGAAGGGGGAGGAAGGGTATGGGGGGACGATTCCCAAAAACTCTTGTGCTGACCCGGCCCGTCTATCAAATTTTAAAAGTCAATGAGGCCCCCGAGCCAAAAAGTTTGCCCACCCCTGTACTAGAAGCTCTTTTATAATTGCCCTAGTTATGCCATTTTATGCTGCCTGAATTTTGTTTTTACATTTGCATTTAAGCATGTAACCAAAAAGTAATCAGCCAAGAGGCGTTTTGAAAGAGGTTAAGATTTAGCGAAAAATTACTTTAACTTGAATATTCAGTATCTCTCCCCTTTCCTATGCATTTTGCTCATTTTAGAGACATGGTATTCCTATGCATTTTGCTCATTTTAGAGACATGGTATTACTTTGTGATGTTTGTTTTATACTAAAATTAATTATGGATTGCTTGGTCTAATAATTCTCAATTACAATAAATATTTTCCTTTGGACATTTTCAATATTGCATAGATCAGATATTGGCAATATTTGTAATTTTTACTATACTTCTGCTAAAGATTAGATGCAAATCTCAGATCTGTGGAAAGGGAGGGGTCTCCATAAGACATATATAATAGAAAATTTCTGCACTTGTTATTTTGGTATTGAGTCCTAGTTTAATAATTGCTTATATTAATAGGATTTTGCTATGTCATTGTTTCTAGTAGCTTCTCAGTTTTGTTTCTTGTAATTTTTCAATGATTTTTTACTGCTGTCCCTCAATATATTTATTGCTTCTTTTACTAACACTTAAGTAAACTGAATTTGCAAATAGTTGGCTACATGTGATCCACAGGCTACAGATTGGACATGCTGATTTAATTTATCTCACCCAAGTGATTCTAGGTATGGCTTACAGCATTAAAATTCTCCCCCCCTCTCTCTTTTTCTTTCTTTCTTTCTTTCTCTCTCTCTCTCTCTCTCTCTCTCTCTCTCTCTCACACACACACACACACACACACACCTCCCCAAGGAACTTTGACTCCACTCATCTCCAACAACAAAGCACATCCAGTCTATCCCAGATGTCTATGGGAACAGCAAAGTCTTGCAGAAGGCTAACAGTCTCCTAGTCTCTGGGAGGTGGCACAACTTGGTCCAACAAGTTTACATCGTTTAATGGAGCAGATCCAGAACAAGTCCTCTTCACTAGTTCTGGTGGGGTGAGCAGAAACAATGGGAGAAAGGCGATCCTGCAAATACCCTAGTCTTATGTTACAATGGGCTTTATATATAATGATTATTACTTTGAATTGCACCTGGGAGCCTACTACCAATATTACCATCATTCTTGTTTAGAATCCCATCTTTAGATCAACTATTTCCCTGTAGGTTGTTTTGTTTGCAGCACACTGTTAAGTCTGAATTAATTCAAATCAGTCAATAGTTGAAATAATATTTCTTGACTTTACTAATCTTCATATTTGGAAGGCATCAAGCTGGGAAAGTTTGATTTAGTCAGAACTATGATAATTTGTTGGGAAAATTATCTGCACCATGAGTTTGAGGATACAGTCCTGTTTTTTTATTCACATGACAAGAATTGATTTTTCAAAAATATTTTGCTTTTTATACTTGACTGTACATATGTTTTGGTATTGTTTGCAGACTGGTCCTGATCATAATTACACCAAGGACAAGATCAAGATTGTTGAAGGAATATGCCTCTTATCCAATGATGAATCTGAATGGGATGATCTTAAACAGATAAGAAGCTCTCGGGGATGTATTCTCCGCGACCATGTATGCATGAAGACTGACACAGTCTCTATCCAAGCCAGCTCTGGCTCACTGGGTGACACTGAAACTGAGCAATTGTTGAAAGAAGAGCAGTCAGAATGCAGCAGCATCAATGCAGCCACTACTCCTGAATGTCATGGCTCCCTTCCAGACACAGGCTGGAAGCACCAGCGCAAACCCTCAACAGAAAGTGAAGTCTAAAGAATATGCAGAGACTTGTCCCTCCTACTGTCATCCTTCACATTGATGAAATAGGATCCTGCCTTCTATTCAACAAAAAAGTTTGAACTACAGAGACTTCCTTTGCAGAAGCATTTGAACTGGACTGTGCCTTTGAGGCAGTTGGAACACAGCTAAGGGACCCTTTTCACTCACTGCTAGATGTTTATTTATCATCCCTTCATCTTAAAAGCTGTGGTATTGAATCTAGCAGTAGTTTCTTTTTCACTTGAATTGACACAGCTTTCATTTGGCTTGTGCATAAGTTGGTCAAAGATTCCAAATCTTCAGTGGCCAGTTTTATGAACTTAGCCATAATTGATACCTGTTATCTTTTCTCAGAGGGTATTGGCACTAACTGGATTTTGCACTGTACTCCTTCTGTTTTAAGAGGAAAGGGTTAGGGCCAATTGAACTGTCTGAAGAGAACAAGGGAATACAAGAACAGGTCACTTTCACAGGTTCTGTACAGGGAGAGCAAATACATCTGAAACTTAATTACAAGGGGCAATAAAATATCACTACCATTTTTACAAACTGGGGAACCACTGCTGCATCTAATGTAGGATGTGAGGATTTTAAGAGGGTAAAGTCTTAGTCTGTTGCTGGCAACAGTCATTGGTCCTGTGACATCCATCATAATACCCTTTCTAAAATATAGATAGAACTTACAAATCTGTTTCCTGGATAGACTGTTTTATTTCCATTTTCACTGGGCTTCCATTTAGTTTTGACCTGCAAAGAACATTCTGGTGCAACATTGTTTAATCATTCTTATTACCTGGTTCACAGGGCCAACTGCTGAAAAACTGTGCTGCTGAAATGTGTGTGGAACCCAAAAGCAGTGTATTAGGTTTAAGTATCTGGAACAAAATTGATGTAGTAAAAATCCAGTTCCAATTTTCTGTTGAAAAATAGGGCTCTTCTAACTTATTTTTTGCCTGTCTTTTCTCTTTAGAAATCCTGGAAGGAATAATTTAGCTGCACCTTTTTTCTCCTATATGCTGTATTAGTTGAACAGACAAAATGAGGTATCAAAAAGTGGATGTGTGCAATTTAAAAGAATAATGTATTTGGATAGGAAATAATGCAGTTGACAGATGGCACACTACAAACAATTTGTTTATATAAAAATCCTTCCTTTTTAACTACATCAAAAATGATGCTATTACTCATTCTATGCTATAACAAAAAGTCAAAAGCTGAGAAACTGTCATTTCACAATATGCACTGTTGGTGATGACTTACACAACAAAGAATGTTTTTCACATTGTCCAAACTTTATTTGACAACACAGAAGTTCTACGGAGGCCCTATCTAGAACTATTAACCATATGAGGTATTCTCTGGGAAAATGTGATTCAGTCTCATTCTAATCCTACAGCTTCTCCCCCATGGTCAATGAAAGATGGATAATGGTGGTGTCCCTGAAGGGTTAGTCTTGATAAAGAGCACAAATTTCTTGTGCACCAAACTAGTCATCCATCTGATTTCTATATTGTTCCGGCAGAAAAAAATTCAAATGGATTCATGAACCACTGCAATATTATTTTACTTCTGTTCAAAATCATGTTGTAACTTTCTTACATCATTTCTTCAACTGAAAGAAACATAGCTTTTTTTTCTTTTCCAAACATACTGTTATAGGCAAGTTGACTTAACAATTTCCACACTCGAGCATTGGATAAATCCTCTAGAATAATAATACATGCAGAAAAATATTTTCCTAAACATGTTCAAAGGGATCCTTTCAGTACAGAGCTTGGTCATAGCATCTGTTTAATGGCAGCAAAGATGGCTGCTGTTATGTATGCATTCAGCTGTTTTTAGTAATATATCCTTCCATTTTATTTGCCAGTTCTAAGCAGCAAGATCTGATGAGAATTTATGAAATCCAATATTTCTAGGGGACATGAAATTGGGGAAACTTGTTTAATTGGGCTGTCTTTTCAGTTTCAGGCTCTTATCTGTTCATATTTGACTGTTCATTGACCATTGCTTTAGTGTATGATAAATTAATCTTTAAACTCTAATGATGGCATTCCATAGATGGGCATGCATTGTCAATTTTATGCTATATTTCCATAATTGATTGTTCCTATGCTGATACTTAATAATTGTCATATCCTCTGTACCTTCATCTCTTTGAATTTTGAACATCATAGGGGGCAGAAGGAGAAATATAGCCCTACCTAAAATATTATTTTCCACAAGTATCTAAGAGATCTTACTAAAAGTCAGATAGGTAAAAATTTACTTAAATTTTATGAGCACTTGACTGTGGGATTAAGTGGGTACTAGCACTTAAATATGGATTATTGTGTAAAATAGTTAACATTGCTTCTATTTTTGTATTACAATCTTCCTGAAAAAGAAAGTTGACTGACTTACATAATCTGTCGAAGGTCTCAATATATTGAACTGTACTTTCCAGATTTATCACTCTAGAGCAGCAGTATCAAACTCACGTTGCCACAGCGATGTAACGTCCTGTATCGGGACTTTTTTTCACTTTGCTAAACTGGGTATGGGCGTGGCCAGCACATGATGCATTTAACCCACAGGCCGTGAGTTTGACAGCCCTGCTCTAGAGGTAGACCTTGCTTAATGACTGCTCGGTTTAGCAACGGTTTGAAATTACAATGGCAAAGTCAGATTTTAGAAAAAAATAACTTTATGATAAATTCTCACACTTACAACTGTTACAGTATCTCCACACTACTGTGATCACCATTTGAGCGATTCACAACCACCAGGCCTTTCTAGCCATCACACCATCCCATGGTCACATGATCACTATTTGCATGCTTCACAACCAGCTTCCAATAGCAGAGTCAATGATGATGTAAGGTCACAAATTACGATTGGTGGTTATGACCCTCACCATGGTGATAAGTCTGTTCCCTTAATGACTGCATGGCTTAGCAATAGAGTTGCTACTCCCAATTGTGGTTACTAAGCAAGGACTATCTGTATTTGCTATACAGCAGTGCAATCTGGATTTGAAAGTGTCTTTGGTGGCATAATAGGTATACATTGGAATATAATTAAATATGCCTTCCTTGTGCAGTTCTTTTTTGAAAACAATGTAATTTCATAAAGTACATTAACTTATAAAACTTTTTCCAGGCCAACTTGCATTTTAGTGATACACAAAAAATGCAACCTAAAGGGTGGATAGGTCAGAAAGAGCTAAATTTGATCTCATTTAATATTAGTCTCAAACTTTGTATCTAATAATGCAATTCTGTGACAAAAATAATACTTTTACATATTTCTGAAAGCTAGCTAAGAGTCTATTTTCAGTTTTCAAATTTTCCCCACTCTTTCTTGCAGAAATCTTCTAGCTCTGAAATTTTCTTGAATTATCTTGCATATACTGCACATTTGAGATTTTGGGATTTTCCTACAGATTTTCAATTATATTAAAGACTGGTGATTGTGAAGACGATTCCAAAATCTTGATTTTTATAAAGATGTTAGAAAGTACTAATTAAAACGGAATCCAGACTTTTGCAATCTGCCATATATTGGTAGAACTGATTTAGTGACTGCTTCAGAGAGTGACTGTTCAGTTATAAATGTGATGAAAATTTGTGACCAGTGCCTGTATTTACAACTTTCACAGCATCTCCTCTCTCACTCTCAGTCACATTTGGCATTACAGTCATTCAGCAAGGTGGTATATTGTTGTTTGCTTGACCCATTTTTTTTTGTTTTGCCCCCTCGTAAGGCAGAGATATAGCTTCTTAGCTCTTCCTGAGCTGCTTTTATCCAAGTCCCTAAAAAGTAGTAACCACAACATAACAAGCTCAGCACTGTGACTTTAATTAGTTGATTAGAACCTTCCAGCCAGCTGCTAGCTGCTGCTTGAAAATGACAAGATTTTAATTTCTAGCTAAAGCCTTTTGTTTGGCTCTAAGAGGATTCTGGCTCTCAACCAGGAGAAGCAAGTCCCAAAGGTGCTTTTTTCAAAAGGTAATTGGACTTTCTTGTTTTTCTTTGAAAACATTTTGCTTCTCATCCAAGAAGCTTCTTCATCTCTAGCTGAAGTCCAATTACCTCTTGAAAAAAGCACCTCTGAGACAACCATGACTTCTATGATTGAGAATCTCCATAGATGGGGGAAGCAAGGCAAACAGCTGGCTAGTGCATTGCTTTCAATGTGTGCTCCCCAGTGTGTGCCTGCCTACTCTCTAGTAAGCTCTCCTTTTCAATGTTTGAATCTCAGGGGGAACCTCATTCTAGAGGCCAGGCGCTGCTATAGAGAAGGTCACACTTTCAAGGCACCAATAGATGACATTGTTTAATTGATGGGACCCAGAGCATACCAATCATGCCAGATCAAACAAGTCAGGCAGATACTATGGAACTTATATTCATATTTTTTAATGCTGTAAAGCAAAGTAAAGCTGCAATAAAATTCTAAGCATCATAGCTGCATGATTTTTCACATAGGGATCACTTCAGTTACTGGTCTCAGTTGTGGTTGCTTAAATTAAATCTCCCTGTACATTGGTTTCTTACAAAAAGAAATAATTCAGACATACTGAATTTCAATTCTCATACTCTCCTAGCATCAGATCCAATGCATCTGTAAAACACTGAGGAAGTATATCTATTCCTTTGCTGCTTGCAGTTATACATTTAAAAATATAGATGAAAATTAGGACATTCATGTTATATCCCCATTGTCAGATAAACTGATGAAAAATAGATGCTGGACTTTCAAAAGACAGCTGGCAAGGTGCTTAAGCCAAGTACTTTCATACTTCTTTGCAAGGATTCTCTTTTACACATTTGTCTTACTTTTTAGATCTTGGTTATGGATTAAAATGTGGAAGCAGAAAATTTTTAAGCCCATAGGAACTGATTTTCTATGAAATCTCCACTTAGCAAATACATTACAAGAGAAATGGAGGTGAAAACCATTATTAGGTCTAATTCAGCTTTTCTTAATCTGATGTCCTTCAGAGACGTTGACATTGCAGGTCCCAGATGTTCCAGCCCTCATATCCAAAGCTGGCAGTAAGTTTGGGGAGTTGCAGTAGCTTCATCTTTCAATCCTTCATGATTTCCAGTTGACTTTTTTCTTCTTCTGAAAACTTTTTCATTCATATATTATTTGAATGTCATTTATCTAATGTCATTTACAGCCATATTACCTACTTTGTCTAGTTTGGGCAAAAAACATTTTCCATTGGATAAAAGAAAGCAACACTGAGAAGTTATGTTAGCTAGCTGTACTGTATTTGTATACATATACATGTCTACTCATCAACATGCAGAAGGGGAAAACTAGATATTATATTTTTAGTTGGTTGCAACCTATGTAGCCATTAAAACTTCTTTACACTTGAGGGATGAGAAAAGCAAATTGCAGACAGGCATGCAGCCTTGTAGCAGCAAATGTAGTAATATTGAGGCCATTTCATTTGATTTAAAAAAAGTGAAATATGAAACCATTCTTCTGACATAAAGAGGGACATGTGTTTCTGAGTGTAGGAATTCAGTTAACAGAAAAAGTTTCAACAGAGATCAGTAGTGTTTTCATCCCAGCTACATGTACTAAATTGCACTTGAATCCTTTTTCATAAAGGTGCTTTCTGTTGCACATTCTGATTGTATACTTCACTTGCTTCTTCAAAATCCTTTGCCCTTCTCTTCCATTTTATCCAAAATAGTGTCAGCATGATAGCAGGAAACTGAAGGAATGGCACGAACTCTTCTAATCTCACATGTGTAACAAGCAAAGATCAATTTCCCTTGTGCTAGGATGCTTTGACTGAACATTACCTAATTCATGGTTCTTTGCTTGCATTTTTTTAAAAAAGGTAAATCTCATTGCACTGGGACTACACAGAATGTGGAAAGGCCAGGAGTGGGGAATAATTTCTGAGCACTCATTTACTATGTAAAAAGCATTTTTCTCCAATATGTTCTGAGCTGATGATAGTAACTTCCCTGCATCTACTTGTAATGGTTTTAATGTTACCTGCTGAAAAGATGTCATTTTTAATAGTTCTCTTATTGCTATGTTCAATATTTTAGGGCATGGGTGTCAAACTAAATAATGTCATGGGCTGAATCGTGACATATCCGTTTTTTTGCCTTTGTGGAGCTGGGGTGGGTGTGGCCTGTGTGTGACATAACTGGGCCACCAGTTTGACAGGCCTGTCTTAGGGAATTATAATTTAATGTAACTCTAGCTTTCTAAAAATCAATTTGCTATCCATTTAAATTGTGAATTACACAATAACCAAACCTGCCTCCTAAACAAATAGACTTCACAAAGTCTCCACTTCTCTGAAGATACAAGCAATTTGGGAATTTGAGAAATTGGAATCCATTGGTGGAATTAATTTATACATTTGGGAATTGTATGTTAAAAATTATAATTTTCTTAATTCAGTTAGGCTGATATTGTCTAGATTCTGTTTTAAGACAAGTGTAGCATAAAGATCTTTGTATCTGTCATGCTGATAATATGCTAATAATGCATTTTAAACAGTGTATACTCATCCGTTTTCTACACCCTATTAACAAACCTGTGAACTGAATTTTTTACCATAGATCAGCGTGTCTTTATTCTCAATATACCATTTCCCAGAGCCAAGTCATAAAATGGAATCAATTCAAAGTTTCCAAGTGTTTTACTATATATATATAAATAAGACTGATTAGTCGAAAACATGAATTGATTTGTTATAAGAGTCTAGATGGCAATGAAAACAGGTACCTCATTAATGACGGTTTTCTTAAATTCCTTTTCAGGATTATAAATTAATTTGTTTTCTTTCAATTTTAATTTTCCTCATACTACTACAGTAGTTCAAACTAAAACTTGCTAGTTTTAAAAAAAAGATGATACACGCACTCCATTCCTATTAAAACAAAGTTGTTTATCTTTAAAAGTATTAACTACTAATAAATAAAGAAAACATGTACTTTGTATCATATAGGCAAAATAATAGTAGATGGAAGTTAGGATAGACTGAAGTTAGGATAGACAAAACAATAGCATTGCTGTGGGATTCATCCTAGAGAACTTCATGGAAAGCACAACATCTGAAATTACGATTTGGTATGGTAGTGCCATAGCCATTTTTTTTATCCTAAGCTTGGACTCCATGCTTAGAATAACATAGATGGTTCAGACAAGCAGACTTAAAAGTATCCACAGGGTTAAAAATTTGTAACAATTTTGCACATTGTCCAACCTAGCTATTGTGAATTGGCAGGATTTCTTAAATGGCAGATTTGTCACTTCAAAATCTTCACATTTAAATTTCATATCGGTAACATTAGAGCTCCATAATTATTATGAAACAGAATTTAAAAATCAATTAAAATAAAAACAGCAAGGGAAGTAATGACTGAGAAAGATGGCTTTTAAAAGATGTTAAAAGATACTTAAAATGTCAGGATTGGATCCTGGCTACAGAATGGAGTGAGTATACTATATATTGATAGGCAACAGAGTTTAGATAATCTTGTCAAAGCTCAAAAGTAAGCAGCTGGTTTGGTGAAAAACTTTCTAGGGCACATATTTTATTTCTTTTCCTGTTTGATTCACCGATCCAAGCAGTGGGATTTTAAATGAGTACATGCAATCATATTTTTTTAAAAAATGAATGAGCTACAGGAAACAAAAAATAGATAGTGGAATCTGGCTGCACGGGATTTCATGTTCATCTGTGATTAAAATGTGTTTATAGGTAGCCTTTGACTTACTACTGGTTGCTTAATGACCATTTGACATTGTGATGGGCCTCCCCCAAGTTATTTATGACCTGTTTTCAAAGTTAAAATGGCCGCACCTATGCTATTACATGATCACATTTTGGGTGTCTAGTAACTAGCTTATCTTTATGGTTTTTTGCAATGTCCTGCAGTCACATGACTAAAATTTGTGCTGGTTTTTTGCCAGTTTCAGGAGTTTTGATTTATACGTCTGGCAAAAAAAGCTCATTGGAGAAAATGGATTCATTTAACAAACACAGTATTTGGTTAATGAATGTGATGTTCACTTAACAACTCTGGTGTTTACTTAACTGCTACAAAATAATGTCAAAAATTAGGCCTGGTCACATGATGTCTAACTCCAAACTCAATTATGGTTGTAAAGTTGAGGACTACCTGTATCTAGTTTTGACTCAATCATGTAAAGACAAATCACATATATCACCTAAGTGACTTAACTGTTAATAATAGCCGAGGCAGAAATTCTACATTTTGTGTCCTGAAAGTCCCATTAAACAAAATAGTATCTATGTTTCATTAAACATGTGTAAGATTAGGCTACTGTACTTTGTCTTTAATTATCTTAATCCTGGCATTAAGCCTAAAGATGACTAGATAAATTTAAAAATTCAACACAGAATTATCTAGGAATTGATATTCTAAATTATAATTTTGTACTATAACAAATGTTACTTAAAAATTGTCTGCATTTTTAAAGTAGAAATACACCCCCTAACGATTCGTAGCATTCCTATAGAAAATTTTGTTGCTGGTTACGAGTTTAGCAATTTCTACCTGGGCAAGCTAACAAATTTAAATGGTGCTTTATTCTCCTCTGGTTCTGTCTTCAAGTCAGACTTGACTCTTAGTGACCAAATGAACAAATCAATCCAATTATCTGGGCAGCATTTTTAGAAATTATTTGCAGCTTCCTTTTTGTAGAACTGAGAGAAAGTGTTTGGCCCAGTGTGATCCAGCAGGCTTTTGTGCCTAAGGCAGAACTAAAGTGAAGTTTCCATGCTTCTAGCTAAGCACTTTAATTGCTGGGCCAAACTGGCTCTCTGCTAGAATCAAAGTGGTTCATACCAGATTCATATTATTTTCATATTGCCTAATATGTTTTGAAGTTTTTTTGCCAACTTAATTTGTTAAATTCTCATGCTTATTAAACTTGGAACCTTCCTATATTTATATTTTTAGAAATTGAAATCAATGTATGTAATAATCTAATGTGAAATCTAAATGCTGTAAATGCAAAGGGATGATGTGCTTTATATGTAGCGTGAACTTTTGCTACCAGAATGTATAGCGTAAACTTTTGCTACCAGAATGTATATGATCTATATAAGCTGACTCTCATTTTTCCCATATCCCTTATCTATTCCCTTATCAATATTTATTATGCCATGAGCATTAACTTCGGAACAGCCTGTTTTTGTCTGTCTCTACCTCCAGATGCATGTAGGAACTGATGTACTGTTTCAATTTTCACCGTGAAAATGCTTGTATACCTAGCATTTTGATTGTATATGTGTTCTGACTTCTTGATTTCTATAATCCATATCCAGTAGGATAGGGCAAGATACTTTATGGTTTAATTAGACAAGACAAATAAAAGAAAGGCATAGAATCTGGAATTAAATTAAAATCAAATGTTTTGTTACCTGTTCTGGGCAGATTTTAGAAACCTCTTCTGAATGCCAACTTCTCTGCCAAAACCCAAGTCACCAAGAGTAACACACTAGAGTAAGTAACAGAAAATGGTCTCCATGGATAACAGATAATCAGAGTTGGAAGGGACCTTGTAGGTCATCTAATCCAACCCCGCTGGCCAAGCGGGAGACCCTACACAATTTCTGATAAATGGGAGTCTAATCTCTTCTTGAAAGTCTCAAGTGATGGCGCTCCCACAACTTCCAAGGGCAAGCTGTTCCATTGGTTGATTGTTCTGTCAGAAAGTTTCTCCTTATTTCCAGGTTGAATCTCTCCTTGTTCAGTTTCCATCCATTACTCCTTGTCTGGCCTTCAGGCGCTTTAGAAAATAGCTTGACTCCCTCCTCTCTGTTGCAGCCCCTCAAATATTGGAAGACCGCTATCATGCCTCCGCTGGTCCTTCTCTTCACTAGACTAGCCAAGGCCAGTTCCTGTATGTTTTAGTCTCCAGTCCCCTAATCATTGCTCTTCTCTGTACTTTTTCTAGAGTCTCAACATCTTTTTTAGAATGTAGTGAACTGTTTCACTGGAGATTCAGTTGTTACTGCATCGAAGCTCCCAAATACTAAATGGAAGATAATTCTGAGTGTACTTGGCAGCTAGTATCCAAAATATTAAAATATTGCAAGATTAAAAATATAAACAAGTAGGTGTCAACTCCTGTATATGTTGTTTACCTGACAGCAATATTTTATGTATTACATTTGTGCTCCACTACAATCTAGTTATCTTTCAGTGGTTTACAAATAAGAAAACATTTAAAACACCCACATAACACAAAGTTTTATAGTACTGAAACAAAACAGAAAAGATGGTTGTCAACAAATGAAACCATTCTCTGGAATATGGTTTGTCTTTAACATCTTCCTGAATGTACCTAGGAATGGCCCCAGACTGATTACAGAGAAACTTCAGAGTTCCCATTGAAAGCAATGCTTTTCCGTAATTTTTTCAGTGGTGGTAATAAATTGAGCCAATTGAGGTCATAGCAGAACAGTCTTGGAAGCACTCGGGTACCAAACTGTAAAAGGCTATAACCAGGGGCATGTTTTGCCACTGTTTTCCTTCGAAATGTGTTTTTATTTTCCAGTATGTTCTATAGCCCTGGAATTTTCTGAGAAGTCTTCCATCTAAGTATTAAGTGGAGCCATATCCCTTCTTTGCTTTTTCAAGGTAAACCAAGATCCACTAGATGTGACCTTCCACAGATAAAAAGAGATTAAAAAAAAAAGATTATGTTCTCGAATTAAATGTTTAGACCACCCGTCTCTAAGAAATTCTGGGCGATATTTGGGTTTCTGGCACTCATTTTATTTTGTTTTTTTTAAAAATACCCGCTTCATTTCAGGTAAAATTTCACCAAGGAAACAAGCACCCCATTCTTTTCACCACACGCCGTTTTTTTCAACAACTACACATACATTATTTTGCTACCTTAAGTCAAAGCATTATTCCTGCGGAAAGCCCGTAAGAGCCCTGCCAGGAACTGCGAGGCAAGAGGCGGGAGGAAGGTCCGGTTTGGGGCTGGGTCTTCTTTTGAGCTCCCCTTTAAAGCCTATAGCCGGCGACCTGCTTGCGGCGCCCTCCCCGCTTTTTCTTCCTCCGCAAATAGCGAGCGAGGCAGTTGCCAAGGCCTAGACCGGCCACCACCACCACCACCAGAGTTAACATTTCTGAGGGGGAAAAAAAAACCACGACAAGAAAGAGCAGCTGAATAAAAACATCGCCGCCGCCGCCGCCGCCGCCGCCTCCCACTTCTTGTGGGAACCCGGCCGCAACTGCCAGATTCAAACTAGCCAATAAGGTTCCAGGTTGAGGAGGCGGGTATTCTCGGTGGAAACCAATGAGGAGCTGGGATATTGGGAGGTGTGGACATCCTTAGTGATTTCAAACGGCGGCGAAGAGAGGCCTGGGGACTTTTCTCCTTGGCTTCGGTAAGTGTCTCTTTTCTCCGTCAATGCCTATCCGAGTGGCGGGGAAGGTTGGGGCTGCGGAGCAGAGTCACCGGCATGAGGAGGTCACGCTCCATCCTCCTCCTTCACTGGTCACTTCTCTCACTCGACAGCGAGGCGTAAGGCCGCTCCCTTGCTATGGATGCCCCGGGAACCTAAACCCAGAGGCCGATCTGACCTCCTCTGTGGTTTCCGCCATTTGAAGCCCCACTTCTCTTCTTTACATCGGGTCCCGTGTGGCTGGCGAGGCTCTAGCAGGGTTAGCTGTGGGATCTGAGAGGCGTCCACAGGGACTTCCTATGCAGTGGGCGTCTCCTCTTTAAATAGGTATCACCGAGACCGGCATTTTTAGGTACTGAACCACCAACTAGCCCGTTTTGATATCATCCTAGCAGCCTCTGAACTAGTCCAGGTTAGTGTGGATGAGTTGCATAAATGGTGGGCAGGCGTGCTGTGGAACACAGCGGGTGGCACCGCCTTTTGTTTGGTGGAAGAAAGTGAGGATTTTAGCTTACTGGCTATTGAGCCAATTACTAATGTGACTCGATTATTAACGCAGTTTAACAGATTAACAGAATTGGAAACGGACCTTGTAGGTCATCTAATCCCCCACCCACCACCCACCCCAAAGCAGGAGACCCTACCCCATTTCTGACAGATGGCAGTCCAGTCTCCAGTTCCCACTGCTTGAAGGAAGAAGTCAGCTATGTGAAGTAGATGAAGCCATTAATACTTTGCTGGTAGATTATTTTGTAGGATGAATGAGTGAATGGCCATCGTTATTTGAAAAAGCACCTGCCATCACTTGCTCATCCGCTCTTTTCCTTGGAAGCAGTAACTACATTCTCTATCTTTGGTGGGGGGGGGAAAGGCACTGCCTTAGGAACAGCACCATTAAAGGCACAAACATTGAGAATATTTCAGGAGTAGCCTCATCCCACCACTGCTAGTCAGAAGTTATAAGCTACAATTAGTGCCCAGTGGGTATCCTCCCCAAAGACTTGGGGACCTAGCTGCTACTTAAAGCAGGGGTCTCCAACCTTGGCAACTTTTAAGACTTAGGGACTTCAACTCCCAAAACTGGCTGAGGAACTCTGGGAGTTGAAGTCCACAAGTCTTAAAATTGCCAAGGTTGGAGACCTCTGACTTAAAGTATTAGGCAATTGCTTCTTTCCATTCTTCAGCTAAAGGAACACAGCATAAAGCCACACTCCTGCTTGCTTACTTCCTTGTTGAGTGAATGACTTTTAGGAGTTGCTACTGTTAGCAGTTTGCTCATTTCTTCATAGTGCTAAATTCTACATGAACTATATTTTCATGAGAAAAGAAGCACTCTAAAACAATTTAGCTTTGTTTCTGTACTGAATAATCCGTCATATATATTGAAAAAAGTAGGTAATCCCAATTTTATCATATCATATGCACAATTATCTGTAGAAGAATCTTTTCCTCCTCCAAACTGGGGAAAAAGGTTGCTAATAACTACAGCCACTGCCCAAAAGGAGACAGATGAGCATACAGAAGGTTCTTGATCATGGGAGATTACGTCTCAAGTGTGTTGTGATGGTGTGGTAATTGAGCAACAGTGGCAGCTGAAAGTAGTTGCCACTGATTTTTCACCCTGGCTTCTCAGCTGTCTTCATTTCTTGGCAGTTGTTAAACTTCCTCAGTAGATTCATTTTCTGAGAAGAGGGAGATCAGAATGTAGTAAAAACAGGGCTCAGTGGCCAGTAAGCCTGGCTCTTTTGCTTGCATAATCCAGAGTTACTTGTATTCAGTAATGTGCAAAGGGAACTTTGGGAGAGTTTATCTAAGACTTTTACTATTGGTTTCTTTTAGAATTATGACACCTGTATAGCTACACTACTTTTTATCTTACATATATCAAGTCCCTTCCTTGTATTAAGTTTTACATTTTCAAAACACGAAGTATGTATTTTAAACTGAAATCTCTCCACGAGATTGATAATGCCTCAATGGACAAACTATTGAAATGTTAAGGCTGCTGAAGCCATTTTCCTTGGTACCTTTTCTCTCTTATGTTTCCTTCATTATGGTTGCTAAGTGCCCTTTATTCCAGAACTTGGAAAGTCAATAGAACATAATGGATTTCTATTTCAGAACAAGGTTGTTCTTAACACTCTCTAACATGCTATAATGTCAGAATATCTTGCCTCAATGTCTTAATCAAATATCGGTGTACGAAATAGATTCAGGGACTGAATTATTTCTAATAACAATTTCTCTGCCATGGTAATATCTACAAGATTCTTAGAGTTTGTTGGTAGGTTCCATACCCACATTTAGGGATCACTGAGGTCAAGGGTAGCTTTATGATCTGAATCTTGCACTTGATTTGTAGATTTCTGGATATAGATACTATGGTAGACTTAAATGCTTATGATTGGACTGCAGGTTAATCCCTAAGAATGTTTCATTTGAATGGGATCATATTTTAAGTGACAGGTTAACATAGCATAAAGCAGAAAATTAGTAAATAAATGGTGAAATAATCCTATGCATTCAGAGTTGTAAAGACTGGCTTCCTCAGTTTGTGGTTGTATGCTGAGAAAAATGCAAATGAGTTTATTGTATATACTATTTTAAAAGATGTTCTTTAGTTTGATAGATTGTTTATTTTCCTTTTTTTTAATCATAGATTTTGTTTATTTTTTAAAGTCATAGTTTTTTGATATAGTAGTTATTAAAAATGCAGTGGTAAGAATGCTAAAAATGGCAACAGGATGCCAGACTAACACTTACATATATTGTGATACATATATTGCTGACCCTGTACAAAAGGAATAAAGCTTACAACATGATGCTGCTTTCAGCAGCAAGATCTTATAAATGCTCATGGCTATGACTATGTACACATTGCTGGACTAAAAGTGAGGAGATCTGAGTTCTAATCTACCCTGATCCACAGAATCTTACTGGACAACTTAGGGCCATTTTATTGTTTCGCAGTTCAACCAATTTCATAAGGTTCTTGCAGTGTGGAAAAGGAGAGAGCACTGGGTACATCTTCTTGAGCTCCTGTACAAAAAAGGTGGGATAACCAAACTTCTGAATTTATTAGAACTTTAGGCATACAACAAGCATTTTTGAAGTGAAAGTAATAGTCCAGAGGAGCTGTCAGAAGGAAAGGAAACCAACTATGTCAAAATTTGTGTTTTTGCACTTGTAACTAATACTGTTTCATAGAATGTTCTTGATGCTGATTTTTTCACCAAATGTGTCCTTTTTCCAAATACTTGTAAAAAAGATAGGTATTAATTTGTACCTGTTTCTTACTCTTTTGTGATTCTTGCTACACATTTCTAAAATACAAAAAGCTTTGAAATGTTAAAGAAATGGACTTTTAAGGGTCTTGTATTTTCTGCCAATGAATGAATAATTCCTATCCAGATGCTATATTTGTTACAGTATTTATCTTTGGATTAATTTATCCTTAAAAGGATTTTAAAGGGGGAAAGGGTTTGCATATGGAATATGGATTCTTAGTTCACGTGCCTTAAAGCAATATTGTGTAATTAAAGGTTTCATGTAAATACGAAGCAATATAACTAATTATATGAGATTTGAATAGAAAATTAACATCGCATCGACTTTTTCAGTTGAGCAGACGTGTATTTTGTTAGTTTTAACATGGCAGGGCAATTGTTAGAAAATTAGACATTTTTTGGAAATAATTGGTAGCCAAAGTTACCTCCGTGGGTGTTCTAAGAACAGCCAAGTCTAAATTCAGAAAATGAGGCTCTCAAGACTGGCGTTGAATTTCCAGGCTTTCTTTCATATAGAAAAAGATCCTATCCACTGAACTGGGTGGGTAGGTTGTTACCAGCGTAACTAAGTTTTTCTGCGGTTTCTCACCCCCCTTTTACTCTGGGAGTATCATCCATCGCGCGTCTTCGCCTTGCACGCTAGTCAAATAAGCTGCGAGACTTGAAACCTACGCGCGCTGCACTTGTTGCATCCCAAATGGTTTTTAGTCCGGCCGAACTGCGCATAACTGCAGCCCGATACCCGGTTCCCTGGTGGGAGAGAGATCGGAGTTAACCGCACGCGAGACGCTGAACGATTGAAGACGGCTCCTGAAGTCGTTATTTTGAATTTTCCTCTTCGAAGAGGAGCTCGACGAACTCCCGTCCCCCGCCGGCGAGGCGAACCGAGGAGCGGAGTGCGCGCATGCTCCCTAACTGGGAGGCGGACACCCCCCCCCCTCCTTTGCCTTTGTTTGTCACATGGGCCGGAGAAGGCCCCGCTCTCAGGTGCGGTGGGAGTCGGAGGCTGGTGTCGCCGGCTGCACTGCACTCCGCCCCGCCTCGGAGGAGGTGCCTTCCTTTTTGCCGGTAGGAGATGCAGTTACCCGCCCGCTCCCTTTAAGCGGGGCTACCGAGACTGGCTAAGAAGGAGAACTGCGGCCTAGCTCAAACTGGGTAAGTCGTCGTTGCCCGGCAATCGGCTCCGGGGCAGGGCGGCGACCGAACCAACGGTGGGGGGCTAAAAGCTCCTTCAGAGCCAGGCTGGGCTGTTGGCAGAAACAATGCAAGGGGAGCGGCCTGTTTGCTCCTCAGTGGCGTTTGACTTCGGAGTAGATTAGAGGTGCCTGAGAGCGGGTGGTTGTTGTGTTTCTCCACCCCCCCCCCCGAGTGACAGTAGTGATCGGTGATGCTGAATTTGTCAATGTCGACCGACCGAGCTGCAGCTCCTGGGAGATGGGTGGCCCCTTCTGTTGGGGCGGGAAACGAGAACAGATTCCGATTATTCTCCTCCTGGCAAGTTCTGCTGTCGCAGGAAAAGGGAGCTCTGGTGATGTCGCCGACCCAGAGCTGTGTATATCTTGTGGGCAGGGGCAAGGAGTGTGCTTTTGGATAAAGGAAATTCATAGGCATATACGATATCGAAACAACTGAGAAGGCCGGCTAGCTCTACTGAGAACAATGAGATGCCTCCTAAGATCATCAGAGATAACAAGAGATGAGACTTCTAATTGACATTCCGGCTCAGTGATGTTAGTGCACGAGTGCTATAAATAAAATGAGGACATGGATCATGAAAGAGAATGGCATTTATGCAGGGTATAAATACATTGCCCTTCCTGGTCAGAAAATATTGGATGTATGCCTTAAAATATTCTTACTGTGTATTGTACTTTTGAGAGAAATATTTTGAAAGAGCGCCCATGAAATGAACTATTACTTGCATTATCAGGGAAATAGGCAGAATAGAAATAACAGACCAGGAGAGAATGGTGTGATGAATCTTCAAAGAGTGTTTGCTTCAAGAGTAGGAAAATATTCACATTTTTCTGAATTGAATGA